CTCTTCCCCAAACGCCCGGGCCACCGCCACCTCCCCGCACGCCCACGGCCCGCGCCGCCGCCCGGCGGCCCGCGACAAATCTCGGCTCGTGACCGCTCCGATGACGCAGAATTCGCTCGCCAACTGCACGGACGACAGTTGGCGCGAGCGATTTACGGCAGATGCAAATACGGTGAGGTCACGGCAGACCACGGCGCAAGTTTTTTTGTTCCTCAGAACTGGTACCGTGGGCGAGAGTGCATATTTCACCAGTAATCTCTCAGTGATGTCGGAACGGGAGCTAACTAGTATCATGCAAAAAACGTGTTTATTTTGCCTACTTTTCCACCAACAACTTTGTGCATGTCTTTGACAAGTAGATGGGTAGAAATATATATATTTGTCTTTGGGTTAACAAATACGTATATTTGTGTATGAAGCAAAATTATGTGTAATTTACTACAGATTGATGCTACAACTGGTAAAATAACCCCTTAAAATATTCCTCGATTATATAGCTCCATTTTGTGCATAACTGAGACTATTGTATGTGTAATAACAATATTGCTGGTTTTGGAAATTAGAATAATTTTTCACGTCAAGACAGACGGAAAATACGGAGTCATTTCCTCCACTTATGAATCTACTAAAGAATATGGATAAACGTAATTTCTCCACTCCCTTCGCTGAAGAAAAGAAGTCTCGTTCTTTCGAAATCAACTTAGTATTTCGGTCCCGCGACTATACTCGATAACAGAGCGCTTTTCTGACACCAGAGACACTCGTCTAATTACCCTTAAGTGGCCATCATATTTCTTTGTGAATATAAGTGGCCAGAAGGGATTTTTTTTCATACTAGTCGATATGTATGTCTAATTCGAATGAGGTTAAAGCAAGTTGCCGCCGGCGTCCGCGACTGGTGTGGGCGTGGCAACACGGGAGGGAGAGCGACAAAAAATATTGGACAAGCCTAAGGGCGGGGATCGGAGAGCGGAGGACGGGCGTGGAATAGATTACCAACACACTGATAGTCCGAGCCAGGTGCGCTTTAAACTATACATGCGAAGGAGTTAGTAACCTAGCAGTTTATGAACATCATATGTTGTAATTCGTTACTTGAATACCTATTATAACAACATTGGGATGCTTCAATTTTTATTTTTCCATGTTGTAGAGCTATATTATTGTAACAAGAATTTTCACTTGGCAATAGGGGTGCTCACAGAGGCGGGGAGTCGAACAGATGGGCTATGAACCCCCTGAACATTTCAATAGGGGCCCAATAGCCCTGCGTAATAAAACATTTTATTTTCCAAAAATATGATAAATTCCTGATTTTCTTCTTGATTAAGATGACACCCGAAATTTGGGAAAGATTCTCTCCAACCCATCTGGCAATCCTCGAAATGGTTGAACATACAATCAATAGTAATTGTTAATTGTTTCATTACATTTATAATTTCTTTCTCCTTGTAGTATATTTTATTTATTTTCTAGGAAAAATGTCATGCGAAAAAAAAGTTCAATGGAAAGAAGTCTCAGAGATGCCAGTAATGTGGTTGGCCTCTTCTTTTAGATTGCGAGTGACTAACATGACAACGCGTACGTCGTATTTCATAAAGGGAGCGTTTAGTGTTTCGGTGCGCGCCAACTACTTTCATTATTAGCCTCGAGATCGCAATACATGTTTTAGACAGGAGAAAATCCTCCCTTTCTGAAACGCGATACCGAGTGCTGATCTACCCTTCGGTTTGTCTTCTTCAGGTATCTCCTTCAGAGGCCCGGCCAAGTTCTAAGCTCCTGCTCCACGTGTCAATTCAGTGCATAATATTGTGTAAGTGGAGGGGAGGTAAGGTCAAGTAAGCGGTCGGTAACATCGCACTCGTCCAGTGGCCGCTTTGTTAGGTTGCTCCGACGTTCACCGGCTATTGAACCACGGAAAAACAACGCAAAACTACCGATCAGAGCTCGCAACAGCTATAATTCTCCTCCAGCAAGTGGCTGAATTCGATGAGTTATATTGCCAGTGTCGAATATCAAGCATCATCAGGATACGAACCCTAGAACGTATTGCTCAGAGACGCTGCAGATGTAATGGATGTTGCCACTAAGCCATTTCTGTCAGTGTATTCACTGAAAGCTAAATAATATTTCCTTAAAAAAGTTATTTTTGATTCTGAAACGCTAAATTGATAAATGATTACACTGATTTACACTGATTTTTAAAACTGATTTAATTTACACTGTTTTGATCATGCAAATCAAAACAGTTTTTGTACGGTTTTGAAGTGGGTGATTTAAATTTTTGAAGGACGAAATGTAAAATCATGAATTCTCTAGATTCGGTATCCATATGGACATGCGCATTTCAGATGCAAAAAAAGTTTGTATCAATAGTCAGCGTCGTCTGATAACCGCACAGAAACACAATATAGTTAATTTATAAAATTGACGCAATTAACCTCGCGGCGTGAGGGCGAGACAAGCAACCGCAATTGAGCGCTGCGCAAATAAAGGCTTCACTGCGCATTGGGGCCACTTCACTTCAGGACTAATTTGCAGGTGCGGGGGAGTATGAAATGGAATCAAAGGAGATAATGATGTCGTTAACAAGACTCCGACGTTTTGACGCCATCAACATTTCAACGAGCAGCATTCAGGTTTTTCTTCCTCAAGTTTTGAATTGCAATCAATGGCAACCAATAACAACTTTCTTTCTCCCTCCATTGTGAAAACTCTCAATTCTCCGTTGATTCGTTCCCCTTGTGCCAATTGCACACCCCTCCCCCATTCTTCCTCCTCTACATATTCTCACCTTAAATCTATTAACTTTCGTTATTCAACACCGTACCACCTTTTGGAAGAACTATAGTGAGTTTCATTATTGTCGAAGTCGGATATCAACTGTCGCTAATTTTAAAAATTCAAAGCACGCGAGGGACTGTACACGTTTGGAAGAATGATGTTTTGGCGTACTAAATTATATATGACACCACGGACCAATACTTATTAGTTCAGAGAAATTTTCAGAACATTATTTCTTGACGGCAGTTTGTCCTCTTGAAGTTTCCTCCTTAGGTGAACTAAATGAGCATCTATTTATTACATTTTTTTAGAATTTCCACTCCCTCCACTGAGAGAGATGAGACAGTGCATCAACTGACGTCACTTCAGTCCCTCTGACCTGCAGGATTTTCGACACTAGCTTGTCAGCTAGGTCGAATTCAGAAGCTGCCTGGAGGAGAATTCTAGCGGCCAGCCGCTCTGATCGGTCGTTTTCCGTGGTTTCTCCGGTCAATACCAGACGAATGCCGGAGCAGGACTTTAGTAAACGGGTCACGGATTGCGCGCGGTCTGTCTTTCCTCTTTCTTGCTCTATTCTCACCCCTTAGACACACTCTTACACTAACGTGCACTACACTACCACACATGTCGGTAGACCGGTCGGAAGCTTAGTTCTTGTCCCGGCTGGGGCGGTGCCTCGCTAGCGAGAGATACCTGGTAAGGGAAAACACTGCTTGGCGACGGTAGGTCGGCTCGCTATCGGCGCATCTCGCCATAGAGCGGGGGAAGATCACCGTCACCTCCCGAGCAAAACCGTGCACTAAACTTACGGGACTAATGACCCTAGTAGTTAACGTGCCCGAAATCACTAAACAAGCAATCATTCATCACGAAACAAAGGCTTCTGTTATTCAAACACACCACACTAACACTCATCACATGGAACACTCACGTTAAGAAAGATGAGAGTTCCACTGTTTTGTTTGATACGACATGCGTGACCGTGTGTATCCTTGTGTGATTACAGACGTGACCGTGTGACTTAGCACCGTGAAAAATATTTATTCCTTCTGAGCAATTTCTATCTGCCATCAAATGTCTCGTATACAATCCAAACTACGTGCACTTAAAGTATGTTAATTAATTTTCAACAGTGGTTTTCAAAATCATATGGGCATGACCGCAGCAAAAAGGCACTAGAAAATATGCAAGAGAAATTACAAGTTGTTTGCAGTCTTCCAAGCTCACACGAGCTCATTTCATCACTCTCACCGCAAGATATTGCATGTGCGCTGTACACATTTTAGTATACACGCTTTGTGGGTAAAGAGAGCGAAAGGCATTACATATACAAATATTTCTCTCTGTGTTTGAATCTCCGAGAATTCGATGTATGCGGCTACTCCTGGGGCCTGACGTATAAATAAATTGCACTGAGCGGAGACTGCATCAACCTTCCTGTAACGACGCCAACGCCCCGCTGAGAATTTAATGGCAACTGTCAACGTCGCTTCGCAAAGGACTGAGCAAATAATGAAAAACTTGCGATCTGCGAATGGCGAAGGAATCTAGCAAAATGTAACCACAAAGCGGTATTAAAAACATCACATCCGCTGATTACAGACATGCGGGCATGTAGTAACGTCAAACAACAATACCCACGCCTGTGTCTGGGGATTCCCTGTCTTGCGATGTATTTTTAAATTTAATTACATATAAGAAAATATATTAAATAAAGATTTATGTTACGTAGATAGTAAGGGTTTCAGAGAACATAAACGTGTTTATTGTTGCTCCAGCAAATATCATAATGTATCTATTACATTTTAACATACTACGCAATTTAAGAACACGTTAAATATATTTGTGATGATGTGATAAATCAGACATCTTTTATTTACATTCATAGCAAACGAATATAAAAATTGAAGATAACATTATTGGTTTGAGATGTAGAATGTCTTCAACTTTCAGGTGTCACACGAGTTACTTTTTATTTCATAACTGATGTTTAATATCGTTCAGAACACTTTCTTCTACGTTAACAAAAAATCGCTATTTCGGCGAAAAGTTACGTACTTACCGTTTACAAAGAGTTCCTTGGCTTTTTGTTGTAAAATGCCAGGAGCCAAATGGAAAACAAGTTTTCAAAAAAACTCTTCGACCACAACTGTTGTATAAAATAAAACTAAAATGCGGGCTCATAAAACAGATAGGAAATTCAAAGCACTACTCACCTTCCCATCGGGGCTGCATACTTTGACGCCAGCCAGCGAGATGACCAGGAGGACGGGCTTGGAGCGTACGCTGCCCTGCAACAGACGGCGTCGGCTCGTCAGCGCTCTCCGGATGGTCCAGGGGGATGCGGGAGGAGGAGATGCGAGATGCGGGGACATGCGGGAAAAGGCGGGGACACGAACGGAGGGCGGGGCGACACGAGGCGAGGAAGGGCCGGAGGGCCAGGCGGAGTGCCAGCCGCTGACCCCGCGCCGCGCCGGCCGCCATTACCCTGATTGCGCGGTCGTTAGACTCGGCAGGCAATCCGCAGCGACGCGTCTAGGACAGTCGTCGCCGCCGCCACCGCCGCCGCTAGCATCTCGGGTCGCTGTTAAAGCTACCCGCCCGCGCCTCCCGCGCGTAGATCTCGCCGCTACACTATATGTAGTGCTATGTGTAGTCTGGGAGGCCTACGACTCGTAGCGTAACCTACATACACTTTCCTCTGCTCCGCTGCATCCGTTACTTCCCACACTCGTTTCATTTCCGGGCTTGTAGTTACATAAGGCATTGCCTCTAATCGACCTCTCAGTTACATACCCTGAGTTCGCATTCCCGTTCGTTATTACCGCAAGTACACGACTTAACGGAGACAGTGGCGTGTAGACGTGACACTGAGCAGCACCATGATTGATATTGCGTTTCCCTACACTGTTCGTTTCGTTCATTCTATCAAGTGCCAATTGATTTCATTTGCACACAACCATGTCGCAATGGTTTTAGTAGATTTCCAAACCGATTCTTTTCATTTCTACTTATCATTTTCCTCTTTTACTCCTGATATCTATCTCCATGTTTTTCTCATCTTTAACACTACTTCTTTCTACTACTACCGTTCATAATCTAAAACTTTTGTCTGTTTTTTCCCAAAGTTGTAATACTTTTTTGAACCATGTCTTCGTTGAATCTATTTTAAGCTTCGCTAATAATCTTCACACAGGTGTCTTATCATATTTCTCCCTTTGATCATTCTTGGCTCTCCCACTATTCACGTTACTTGATACTTTCATGTTAGTTTTCTGTAAGAATAAGAAGTTATAGAGGATGTTTTGTGTAAAATATTTCATTTGTAAAATTATTTGTACTTCCAGGATTGCATCAGCTAATCCGTGTACATTTCTTTCCATTTGCATAACAAAATAATACAAACAATGATATTCCCCTACAATATGAATTCTTATATTCCCAAAGACCTCTATTTTTTCGGAAAATATCTTTGACGACACGCTTATGTTTATGAGTTAAATAGGTGAACTATACACAATTCAAGAATGATATTTTAACTTTATGAAGTTTTAAAATTTTATTTTGTAAGAATTTGTTAGTTTATTATTAAAAAGGCGTGCTTTATTTTACCTGAAAGTGTATCATTTCGACAGTAAACAACTACTACAAAAATAAAACCTCTATTAGATACAAGTTATTTCTACGTTCATTATCACATATTTACAAACACCAAAGGTTAATGAACGAAAAGGTAATCCGCAAACAAAATTGTCGATAATCGTGTTCCTCTCCATTTATATCTTTCCGCGTTAACGTTGAGAAATAAACACGGTCTTTACACAAGTACAAAGAACAGATGAATTCCGAAAAGAGTAATTACTCGTTTAAGCAAGCAGCAAAATTCGCATCGTTGGATCAAAGCAGGTCCTCGTAGCGCCAAGTAATAAGGTTCAGCGATTTACTGCAAGAGCGCACGTGAAGTTCACAAGTAATTGCCAGGCATCCAATGAAAGCATTGTTCTTTGATCTTATTCACGTGCGTCATTATAAAACACTCCACAAGAAAATTATACCGTTTGGCGTCATCTAAAGTTCAAAAAATTGAAGAATGAACCATTCTCTTCCAATATTGGAGTCAAAGTCTAAGTTTCCGCCCGAACATTCTTGCTTTGTAGAGGAATTTCATAAAGTATCATTATATTTTCTCACTTCAATTAGCGACACAAGGAAAATTTTAAGAGGTGGTGGTTGCTAAGGAGAGGAATTTCTCAGGAAACGCTCTTTGTAGCACCTGAAATTAGCCGCAGGAAGGAGTTTCCTTTGCTCAGTAAAGGATTCCTGAGAATTTTCACTTTCTTTAAACGACGCGATATCTTATAAGAACTTTGTAGCTGGAACCCACAGAAACACTTTACTAACGAACCCTTTATTCACAGGCGTTGCATGTTACTCTGAGGGCAGCTTGAAAACGAATGTACTTCCTTCCTAGCTTGGAAAATATTATCAGAAACATGAGCCTCATATGTGTCTTTATCCTGTAGGATATACGGTATCGTGTGATAACTGAAGTACGTATCCGAAATTTTACAATGAATATATCATTGCAAACAGTGTCTAATACATCCTAAGTTATTGAATTTCTGAATACCTGTACGCACTTGCACTTGATCTACACATCTTGACTTATAATATTCGTACAAGTACTATATTAATCTCCTTAGAATATTTCACGATAGGCAGTATCTACTGCTATTATTTTAAGAAAAAATCGCTTGCAATCAGGAAATTTAACTAATTAGGGGAAAAAGCTCTTCTCAATTCTCGAATTTCTGGACTTTCAACATAAGCCCAGTAAAAGAAGACAACACGAGTGCTGTCACGCGCTGACTGAAATACTCCGGGACGTTGAACGTTGCGCATTTCGCCCCTGTCAGCAGTTGGTCATCAAGCACCCCCCTCTCCTCTTCCCGGGGACCGCCGTCCTTTTCTTCCCCAGACCGGACTCCGCTCATACTTAGCATCTCCGGGCTTTGATCTGGCC